GATTGTTGGGGACAGCGTGCAACCCTGTGGGACCCCCTGCTCAATGTCGAAGAATTTTGACAGTTCTCCGTCTAGCATGACCGCGCTTTTCGTACACTCTGTCATCTTCTTCAGCACTCTCCACATTTTCCCCTTGATCCCGTATTTGGACAGTTGTTTCCACAACCCATTTCTCCATACGGTGTCGTATGCCTTTTTCACGTCCAGGAAGAAGCAGTACGTCGGCTTTCCCGCCCTCTTTCTGCCTTGGATGATTCTCCCTACCGTAAATGCGTGGTCTGCGCACCCCTCTTCTTTCGGAAACCTGCCTGGCCTTCACTAATGCTATGTTCCTTCTCCAGTACTCCCAATATCCTATCGTTCAGCAGCTTACAGAACACTTTTCCTACTGTGTTCAACAGTGTGATCCCCCTGTAGTTTCCTGGGTCAGTCTTGTCTCCTTTCTTAAACAAGTTCACACCCACTCCTTCGACTAAGGGGGCGACGCAAAATCATGTTAAGAGGGAAGGGGTAGGTCGGAGAAGGGGAGAGGAGAGAGAGACAAGAGAAAGCAACGAGAAAACAAGTAAAACAAAAAGAGGCAATACAGCAGCAGTACAGGCCCCACAAAAAAAAAAAATCCTCAAGGCCAACGACTCTATTCCAATCCCTCCAGTGGCAAACGGACTTAGAAATGTACGGAAGTTTTCTCTATTTTTCCACGCTTGACCCACCTGCCTCCGGAGCTCTTCGTATAGATCCCCGCTGGTCTCGTCCGTGAGAGAGGCCACGATGCACCGAACCGTGTCCTTTCGGCCCTGCAGGTAGAGGCGCACTGGCCCCGCCACGGTCTCCAGCAAGACATCCTGTTAGGGTGTCGGGGTCAGTCGTTGTCGTCAATGGTTGTTGCTGTTTTCACGAGTTGCTGTTGTTGTTGTTGCTGTTGTAGTTGTCGTTTGCTGTACTCGATAATGAATGCATCGTTTGTTGTTGTTTGTTGTTGGCTGCCGCTGCTGGACGTTGTTGTCCTTGTTGATGCTGCCAAATGGTTGGGTACCTTTTTTCGTTGTTGCTGTTTTCGTTGCTGTTATTGTAGTTGCTCACTGCTGCTGCTGCTGCTGCTGCTACAATTGCTCATGTTGTTGCTGCTGTTGACATCGACGTTATTATCGAATTCCATCGTCGTTGCCGTTGTCAGTGCTGCTACTCTGCTACCCTGAATGGATCTACCGGTAACAGCAGTACTGGATCGAGACATCATGAGAGGTCCACTCGATGAGAAGCAAGATCTACACACACTCCTGCAACCCCCCACCCACCCCCGATCACAACCTGCCCCCCCC